ATGTAACACCTACTTTATAGTTGCAAATTTTTTCTTTTCATAAGCATTTCCTAAGATTTCACTAGCCATGATGCAAATGAGATTAGAAAAGTATAATACGTAAAACACACAGGTTAACTGCACTAGCCTCATAAACAGGTATCGCTTTTCCCACCCTTGCCTCTGCGGTCTGCGGTCTGCGGTCAAAACAGCTGCCAGGAAGAGCTGATTAAAATACAACCAGACCATGTCACCACTCTGCTCAAAACCTTTTAATGGTTTCCCATCTCCCCGTAAAAGTCAAAGTCCTTATAATAAAAGATCTTACACCATCCTAGTGCTCTGTCCCCCTCCTAGCCTCCTGCCTCACCCATCCCTCTTCACTCCACTTTATGTCTTTCTCAAACAAGCCAGGATTCTCCCCAGATATCTGTGCACATGTTCCCTCACCTCTTTCCAGTCTCAAGTCAATTGTCACCTTCTCAGCAGAGCCTTCCCTAGAACCCTATTTAAAACTGCACCCCCAGCCGCCTCCCTGCTTTGTAACTCTAGAGTACACTGACCATCTAACATACTCTGTTGTATTTTACCCACTTATAGTTTACTGCCTACCTCTCTCCGTTTGAACATAAATTCCACGAGGACAGGGGTTTTTATTGTTTTGTTCACTGCTGTGTGCCCTAGCTCTAGAACAGTCCCTGGCACACAGTAGGTGCCCAATATATATTTGTTGAACAAATGATTTAAGTGTTGATTACTGCAGGTATATTCCAAGGCTGAGGTGATTAGAGGCCCAGCAGTACCAGGCCTGGGACCTGCCAGAACAAATGAGCTTCATGGATAACAAAACACATTTTGAACACTGCGACACCAAAGGCTCTGTGCAGGTGATGTGCTGGGCCTTGAATTAGCCTGAGCTGTGGTTTGCCCCTGTCCTCAGGGGCTTCACAGACACATAAAAACAGACAGAGCAAGAGAGCTTATCCCATGACTCAAATGAGCACTGCCAGATATACATTCCAGGAGCTCCAGTGCAGCAGATGCAAGGCTGGGGCCAGGGCATTACTAAGAACATGAAGGAATGGTTTTCGGTTTTAGACAATGGAATTTGAATCTAGAAATGACTGCTTCCTTGGGCATGCCAAAGAAAATTGTTCAGAATGAATAAGCTTGCCAGCTCTGTCGTGTAAATAACATCTATTTCCTTTCCTGAAAATCCGTAAGCTAGAAATCAGATTTTCCAAATGACTGAAATGAAGCACACCCTGTCTGAACAGAAAGATCGGGCTTTATGCTGTGAATGGGGTGAGGATTCCACGAGCGCTTTACCAACACCATACACAATGTGATCGTTACTGGGGGACTTGAGTCAGAACGCTCTGGCACGGAATTCGTACACAGCCATTCCGCATGAGCAGAACTCCTACTGGAAGCACAAAAAATTCTTCCCTCAGAGTTTCTGCCAGTTAAATGAACCAAGAATCAGGCTATGGGGCACAAGACAAAATGATTAAGGCTTTTAGGAAAATATCCTTAAAAAAAAAAAAAAAGAAGAATGCTCTGGAGGCTGGTATTCGCCGAGACAGAGCATGTCATCAGAACATTCCAATTACCTTGAACTCTGTAGTATAGGGCAGACACTAAGCAGAACGGAGATATACCATGTGACTTTATTTCATAAGAAAATAATAACTGCCTCAGGATCAAATTATTCAGATTTATTATGTGCCAGCCACACAACTGTCTGTTTTCACGTTATTTTAATCAACCCTGATAACAAACAAGGTCATGACAAATATCCCTATTTTCCAGATAAGAATATTGAGGATCCCAGTTAATAAGATATTTGGCTAAATGGTAGAGCCCAGTAGTGCCAGAATTGAAATCCAGCACTCTTGACTCTAGAGTCTGTGTTCATTCTACTATACTATAGAAGGAGGGAAACACCTGTAGGAACTGCAATGAAAGCAATGAAAATTGTTCCCTATGGTGTTTTCGTAAAGGCCCCTCCTCTGAAAATCCAAGATATTATTTCTAGGACCTTGTAGGCTTTCACCAAAATTAACAAAGATGGTTATTTAACTATTCAGTCCCCTTATCTCGTAAGAATTTGAGGAAATGTTTAGCATTTAGCATCTTCTTGTCCAGGGAAAGAAAGAACTTGCACACCTAATAAAGATATACGATGTCTTGAAAAAATCAAAGGCTTTAAGATGGTTCATACTTTTGTACCTCATTTTAATAATCAAAATATTTTAATGTGTCAGGGCTACTGAATTACAGCAGGGACCAAACATTTCAGCAGCTGTAATAAGAAAACGACATTCTGTCAGAGTAGTTAATAAATTTAAGAGTTCTTACTTCTTTAAGATCCATATGCTAAAAGGTCCAGAAAGGAAGCTTCATGAGAGTGTTTGTGATTTTCTGTATCAATTAAGATTATAAAAATAAACTTAATATCATGACCTAGTAAGGGCTTATGGACGGACTCAACGTCACTGCTATAAATTGGCTGGAATTTCACTCCTGGTTAAACAAAGGAGCTCGTGCAGACTACACAAACAGGTATAATTTCCACACAGGCCCAGTGCTCCAAATAAAGAGGGAAAAAGGGACCCCAGGAAGTGCCTGTGACCGACGGGCACACTGGGGGTAGCCTAGGCTGGACGCTTCTCAGACCAGGAGCAGAAACACTAGGAGAGTGGACTCCCCTGCGCGCTCCTGGAAGGGCAAATGTCCAAGACGACTTCAGCTGGGCCCTTACAATTTTTATATGGTAGTTTTCCTTTCTGAATCAAGCTCCTGGGCTCACTCACATTAAAACTGGAGGAAAATGACCATCAGAACCAAGTGCCAGGTCTGCAAAATAGGCAGGCAATCCCTCTTCACCCCAAGGATGTATTTAAGCAACAGGTTCTAAAGGCCAGGGAACAAGTGCTCAAAATCCTTTCCAAACCAGCCACACATGGTTTACAGCTGAGTATCTCTGGAGAACCCTGTGGCTGAAAAGGCAGGATTCCACTTCCACAGGGAATTGGGAGGGGAATGCCAGCCTAGGATTAGCCCTGAAAACTGTCCTTAAACTGAGTCTTAACATTAATTCTGGACTCTTATCAGAGGAAAACAGTCAAGGCCATCTCACCTATTTGGCCACAGGAAAATCCAATAACTTTCTTTGTGGCATCTGTCATTTAAACATGGTGGGGAAACATAAATCTTCCCTAAAGCCACGTGGCCCTTCTAGGGGGAGGTACAGCAGAGGTAAGCGGTCAAGACTTGGTTCTCTACTTCTTACCTTTCCTCCCACAAATGGCGTCTGCTAAGGCAATTCAAGAGTGTTATTTATTTACTAGAAACCTGACTTTACTTTGCACAAAGTTCTAAAGGAGCAAATCTGGGGGGTTACGTGGGGGAGCAGCAGCAGCAGCTGCAGAGGCAGGTGCAAGAGGTTGGGAGAGGGACAGGCTCCCCCCACACTCCTCCCAGCAAACCCAGCTTCTGTTTCCAAACGGAAGGTGGGGACTCTGAAGGAGTCTCACCTGCTATGTGTCCTCACCCGTATGAGCTCACAGAATAAAGGAAAGAGACATGGCTCCAACCCAAAGAGGAGCATGCCAGAGCCCAAGTTGTACAACAGCCTGGCAGAAATCCAGAATCTAAACAGGAACAACGCACACCTCTGAGCAATGGCTCAGACATCCACCTAGTCCGGTGACCTGTCAGGAGGGAATCACTTAAATGCATTTTTGTTGAAAAACAAGCAAATACGACTTAAAAATTATTTTCGTTAGAAAAACAGTGTGTGCTGAGCAAGGAAGTTCAGGGAGACCGTGCCTGCACATTAGCAGGGTGGGAAACCGGGAAATCCGAGTTCTCCTCGGTCGCTTCTGCCCACCCCCATAATCCCCGAATTTGGCACGAATGTGGCAGGTTTTCAGAGCCCAGGTGCGGGTAGGTCGTGCTTGCTGCTGCCTGCGAAGGCCCCTTTCCAGGCACTGCCCAAGGTGAGCAAGGCCAACACACCCACCCTCCTGCGCTGGCCATCCCTGAGAAGCGTGACCCACAATCTGTCAGAGCAGCATGGCTCTGGTCACAAATTGGGGAGCAGATACAATTAAACACACACACACACACACACACACACACACACACGAGCACGCACGCTGGTTTCCACTCGGGAAGAACTGAGAGCTATTTGCTTCCCTTTCCCCCTCCAAATCCCTTTGATCATTGTGGGTAACGCAGGGACCGGCAGTTGGTGGAGCCCCCAAATGGGAGCCCCCAAGGAGCTTTGTTCTTCGCACGCGGAAAACAACACGCTCGTCGGGGGAAGCCCCCGCGTGGGGTCCGATACCGAGAAGGCGCCGAGGGACGCGGGCACTGGATGCGCCAACGCCCGCCCCCGCC